TATATATATATATATATATATTGTTCTACTCAAACTCTCAGATAATTATAGATTTTTATCCTTTCTATAATGTGGCATTTTCAATCTTTAACTCCATTTGATCCTGAGGGAATTTTGTAATTACTATCCACATTTGATTTTTTTTGAGATTTATTTTTAATTCGTATTCAGTGCATTGATTTTTAAGTTTTTCTAGTAGATGTTATAAGTCGCTGAGGGTGCTTATCATTAGAATTGTATAACGTATATTGTTGACTATCTCGTTATTTATATCTGCTATTTCTTTATCTAGTGCTTTATTGAAAATGGTTTCACTATAGGATAATTCACTCAATAACTTGATAACTTTTTTAAAATATAGGATAAATCTGATATACACATATGCCGCAGCTAAAAAAAATTTAATTTATTATGTATCATGTTTAAGGCAAATTAATTATACTAATAAAAATTTTACTGTGATAAAAATTTTCTACTATAATAAAAATTTTAGATTCAAAATATTTATTTTTCGTGTTAAAAAAAAACTTTTTGAAATCCTTGCATTTTTGTTGTATATCTCATAGAGGTGGGATATTACATATAAGACAATAAACTAAACAAAGAAGACAAGAGCAAAAGAATATTTGTATTTTGCTGCAACATGCTTTATTATTCCTCTAGATTCATATATCATGAAATAACCACTAACAAGAAGAGACTACATAGCGATTTTATGGGGATTTATTTGGTAAGCTCTTCTAACATTACTGCAAGTTTGATCAAATTCGGTGAAAATCAGAATGTAGCTGGACACCTATGGGTTTTCTGTTATCTCTCGTCGTCGATCTAATTATACGAAAGCTGAAGATTAGAGCTTTGCTTCGGTTTCTGTCCTTTTAGTCCTTTCTGCCCTTTTACAGTAGGTTTGTTGATGACATTATTGGCGGCACTTGCGCCTTCGATTAGTTCTATTCTTGATATTTTTAAGCATCCTAGATTTCAGTTCATTATGGAGATAAAGAGAATAATAGATTGAATTTTTTGGATGTTACTAGTTATTAGGGATAATGAGTTGATAGAGTTCAAATGATACCACAAGCCGACTTTTTCGGGTAGATATATAAATTTTTAGTCACAGCATTCGGTTTCTCAAAAAATAGATACAACCGCAGGAATAGTTGATAGAATAGTTTTGCTTTCTTATTTTAAATCCTAAATCCTAAAAAAACCTTGATAATTTGTGTTTTATTATTAAAATATTGTTAGAGAATGATTATCCATTGAATTTTTTATATTTTAGAATATTGACAATTGTTTGAAGAAGATTATTATGACTAGTAGTAGGAAGAGTGTTATTAATGATAATAGAATTAAAATAGTGCAGTCTTCGTAATTCTCTTCGTAACCTACCTTTAGTTCGTTGTATTACTGAGAAGTTTAGTAGATTGAATAGTGAGCGTATCGTGAGAGTATCGTTTTATAGTACTAATAAATTGCGAGAATTCATTAGAATGAATAAGGATCTTTTACTGCGTGACAAGAAGTAGAATATTGTTTATAAGATCTCATGTAAGAGTTGCGATGCAATTTATGTGGGACAGACGTGTAAATAGTTAACGTGTAGAAATCAAGAAATCACGGAGCATAAGAACCATATTCGATGGAACACCTCTATTCGTATTGTCATAATGGAGCATCGGTTACAAGAAGGTGATTTCGATTGGAACTACATTATAATACTGGACGAGGAACGTCACTACAGGAAAAGATTGATTTCAGAGGTTATTCATCAGGAGACAAACCTGCAGACGGATATGGAGGCGCTTCCCAATGCCTACCTCCCGATCATAGAGCTAAGGCTTGAGTTGTTGTCACGTCTAGTCAGTGTCGTTCATACGCAGTAATAAGTCTTTCTGGCGTGTTTATAATTGATTAACGCTTTAATGATACATTTTTTCATTTGTTATCTTGAAAAATTACTAGCTAAAAAACAAAAAGTGTCACTCACTGTGTCTGATACTGACTGGTCAATATTATTCTTATCTCTAGGAACCGAATTCTTGAATTATTTTTATAGTAATATTTATTGCAATATGATGCTCTGTGAGCATAGTGAGCGTCCTTATATTTGCTGGATAATTAATTATTGTCTTAAAATTAGTTCTCCATATTCTATTTTACGATATTTTATAATATTTCCTAATTTATTTTCTTTTTCCTTCACTCTTTTTGATTTTAATTCCGACATTTAAATTTCTCGTTGTTATTCTCAATTTTTATATATGTTAATTTATGTTGTCTTTAAAGAAGACTCAAAAGTGAGCCGAAACATCTCAGTGAAGCAATGAGCAATTTTAGAACATTTAACATAGTGTACGTAAATATTACAAATCAACGCAACGAATCAATGATATATCATTGATATAACAAAGCTATAACGTATACACTAACCGTGGTGTGTCCTAACCTGTTTTGTTGCATAGTTATGTAATGTTTACGAAATTTGAACAACATAAATTTTCATTCTCTGAAAATTTATATTATGTTCATAAATATTACGTAACTATAATGTAATTGTGACATCATTTTTAAAACATAAAATTTATATGATTTTATCAACATCAATAGGCAGACTGTAAATACTTCGTAAATGTAACATCAGTATTATAATGTAATTGCGATATTATTTCTAATACATAACATTTACGTCTTTTTGTCAATGTCTATAAGTAAAATGTAAATGTAACATTAATATTATAATGTAATTGCGACATCATGTTTAATGCAATACAATTATGATTTTGATGGTTTCAATAACGAAAACTTTACTTAATGGCATAGAATGTAAACGTGCATATAACATATCGATATTGCGCTTTTTAATACGTAAAAGTCTAATATAATATATGATTTGGTATATTTAATATGTTCGCATGGAATGTTTCTTAATGTTTTGTAATGTATTTAATATAACAAAGCCGTGTTTGTAATCCGATAAAAAATTTTTCATGCATGAATATGTATAAATATACGTATTCATGCATGAAAAATTTTTATATAAACATGCATAAATATTTATAAACATATATAATTATATATAATTATGAAATATACATCTTTCTTTCTTTTAATTTTAATAATTATATTTTTAATGTTTTCTCATTATTATTATTATTTTTATCACATTAAAAGATAATTTTACAAAAGAAAGAAAGATGTATGAGCATATTTCATATATAATTACATATTTTTATAAATATTTATGCATGTTTATGTATATTTATACATTTATACATATGTTTATACATACTCGTGCAAGAAAAACTTTTTACCAGGAAATGTTTTCCATAAAAAAATCATGCATTTATATAGCATACCCACACATAGCATACACACACACACACACACACACACACACACACACACACACACACACACACATCTCAAATTTGAATATATTTTTGATATCTCGCGTTGCGCGTTTACTTGGCACGAGACACATAAACTATCAGCCAAGGTTTGTCGCATGCTCCAATATGTTTCTACCAACGTGTTCATTAGAGTGAAAAAGAACTATAGTAGGAGTATATAGGAGCGTGTTGGAGTATGCAAACCTCTTTACAAATTAATATCTCGTTAACTATTGCAAAAATAATAGAAATTGCATAAAATGGTAGAAAACTTTTCGTTTCTTAGTTTATCCGCTCTATCTGCCTACAAGTGTTGTCGATAGAATTATCAAACATTGTATATCGTCTATGGCGCAAAAGCGTCTTTTCATCCGCGGTCTCTCCATGATCGGTCCCGCCAAAAACTAATTTATTAATTAATTTGCAAATTAATATGGCGAAAAAATGGTTGATATCGGACTTTCAGTTTTTTGAGTGTAGTGGATCTTTTCATTGTGTAAAATTAAATAAAGTACATATTTATATATTCAATAATGGAATTGCCTGATCAATTTAGATCATATAATTAGCTCGATTTTCAACACTTTCTTTATCGAAGTGTTCTGCATACCACCTTGATCAAAAAGTTCCCGGAATTACCACCAGGTGCTCTGAGTTAACTAATTTGAGTTCTGTTTTTTTTTGGTTAGGTTGCCACATCTATCATTGACATTCCCACCAAATTTTATCATCACAGTTTGACATTTGTAAAAGTTATGCCGTCTTGAATACATCTACCTCTGCACGTTCGATTTTTTACAATTTTAAAAATGGAATTGAATTTGCAACAACGAGTTTGTATTAAATTTTGCGTTAAAAATGTATTCATTGGTGTGAAAACTTGGAAATGTTGGGAAACTGTTTCGGCAGTGATACTTTAAAGAAAATAGCCGTTTATGAGTGGCATGAGCGCTTCAAAAGTGGTCGTGAGTCCGTCGAGGATGACGAACGCAGTGGCAAGCCGTCGACATCGAAAACCGACGAAAACATCAATAAAGTGAGAGAAATGTTGATCAATAACCGCAAATTAATTATCAGAGAGTTGGCAGAGGACTTAAACATTGCTTATGGATCCATTCAGGACATTGTAGTTAATGGTTTGGATTTGCGCCGTGTTGCTGCAAAATTGGCCCCGAAGGAACTGAATTTCATGCAAAAAAGGGACCGCGTTGTCATCGCCAAATACATCATTTCCAAGGCTGAATCCGATCCAACATTCATCATTACTGGAGATGAGACGTGGGTTTATGAGTACGACATGCAATTAGGCGAGTGAATGGAAAGTTTCAAATGAGCCAAGACCAAAAAAACCACGTCGTTTTCAATCGAAAAGAAAGCGATGCTCACGGTTTTCATGGATTTACAAGGTATTGTACATTTACAGGTATTGTACATCACGAATTTTTGCCAAAAGGTCAGATAATTAATAAGGAATATTATTTGGGTGTTATGAGACGTTCGCGTAAAACAGTTCGCCAAAAAAGAAAGGATTTGTGGGCAAACAACTCGTGGATTTTGCACCATGATAACGCACCGTTGCACAGTGCCATCATTTTCCGTAAATTTTGACCAAGAACGAAACGAATACCATCCAACAGCCATCGAATTCATCTGATATGGTATTCCCTGCGATTTTTTTCTGTTCGATCGAGTCAAAACATCATTATGGGAAACGCGTTTTAACAGCCGAAAGGAGATAATGGAAAAATCGAAGACAGTTCTGATGATTATACCGACAATAGAGTTCCAGAAATGTTTCGAGAACTGGATCAAGCGCTGGCATAAGTGCGTTGCAGTCGATGGGGAGTACTTTGAAGGAGACAATATCACTTTTGATGAATAAAACTTGTATTTTGAATTTTCTGAATGAATTCCGGGAACTTTTTGATCGAGGTATTATGATTTACGGTTTACATACTATTTGTTCATCGTCTCGCTTATTCGTATTTGATAAGTGCGATTGTTTTTATATTTTTAATTTAGACATTTGATGCATGATCGATGTTATCGAGTTTTGGATTCGTGTTAGGCCAGAATCAGACTACGCATTGGAGGTTATCTATGCATTTTGAGATTATCGATTAAAGATTGAAGATTGTCCAATTACATTATATGATAGCGATTTGTATTGATAATATGGCTCCACTTTTCGAAAATACGTATTGCGCTATTTAACCTCAATTTTGACTCAACTGTAACTCAATGACTCAACGATTGTTGATCGCGGCAGACACGTTTCGGGTGCTATTTCATCGTATATTTTTGAAAGTATTGACAACTTTGATCGAGTATATGAACCTCTATTATTTGTCAATCTTTTACTTGTATAGAAAAAATATCAAATGTTCACCACATGATTAAAAAGTCGCCAAGCCATTGGCTATTATTGAGATTGAAGATTAGGAAAATAGACCGAGCTCTAATTTTAATCTCTATCTTTGCTTTCTTCGCTCTGATTGATCAAAATCCAATCTCCAATATTCAACCTCGATGCAATTTCAATTTCCAATGCATAATCCGATTCTGACCTTAGATATCCTTAGATGACCTTAGATCGGCATTTGAATTATCTATACTTACAATTTTCAAGTCGATAATGATTTAGAGCCGATCTCACCAATTTTGATTAACCTAATCAGTCGATTAAATTAATTGATGTTGGAGCCGGTTCTTAAGATTTGTTCGCGTCGCAAGTTCGATATGTTTCTATATGCTTTTATCATAATTTTTATTCCGACGATCACATTGGAGTGAGTAAAACCGTAGCAGGAGCATGTTGGAGCATACGACGCGAACAAACTTCGAATATTTTTGGATGCTTTACTGCGACATAAATCAATACAACATCGTTTTATCTTTGTTATTCATTGAATCAAGAAAGAATAGAACGCCGCTTATATTTGTATCACTAAATGGAAAATACCTTCTAAAAATACAGAAAAAATATGCCATGTGATTTCGTCATAATTTCTTTTCAGATATTCACCTTTACACTTTCATTAGAATCACATACATTTTAATTCTAATAACTTGTACTTATATATGTGATACTTATTAAAGTGCTGCTGTAGCTACA